GAAGGTGAGCAAACATATTAAGAACAGTATGCCATATATGCCAGGTCCCTTGAAACATATGCTGTGCAGATGTTTCTTCCCTGCAGCAACTGTGTCAAGCAGCAAGGATGGACCAGCTCCCAGCATGGTACAAATATACAATGGAAAAATGGAATATTACTTAGCCATGAAAAGGAATGAATCTTACAATTTATGACAGCATGGATGGACTTGGGTGGTATTATGCTAACTAAGTTAAATAAGTCAGACAAACAAAGACAAATACCATATGATTTCATCTATATGCAAAGTCTAAACAACAAAAGAACAATAAAAAAGATTCACAAATACAAAAAATAGGTATTGATTATTATAGAATTGAGCTCAAAAAAATAAGAAAATTCGGGGACTTTATGTAGGTTCTAACTTAACAGAAAAACAGTGCCACAGAGGGAGAAATGGCACTAAAACTATTATTCTGGATTACAAAGTAAATGTACTAAACAAGTAATGCACAGTTCAGATTAGTGATGGGGATAGAGACCAAATATCTGTTGTTTTTTCATGGGAACTATCTATTACATTAAACTAACACAAAGAGAAGGGAGGGATGATGGAAGGAGGGAAAAGAAACAGCTGCCAGAAAAAGATGCGTGAGGAACCTGAAGTGTTCTGTTATTGGCTGGGGGGTGTAGCCCTTTCCTAAGAAGATGAGCGGCTCATTGGTGGAATGATAAATAATTCAAACAGAGGTTACAAGTCAGATTTTGCTGTAATCCTGTATGGGATTTTACTGTACAGTTATTTAATTTATTTGGCATTAAATATTGAAGAGCCCCTCTTTAAGGAAATAGAAATGTAATATGTTATAGTACCTACAAATTATGCTAAACATAGCTCTAATGCAAATAGTTCACTTAAGGAATATTAGAATGAGATCCTATATAAAACAATAATATACATAACTCAAGAAAGGATGTAGCAAAATATGAAAATATTTTATATAACCGGTATGGGTTTGATGGGAAAAAAGGAAGAATAAATGTATTTACTTAGTGAGTCAAAGAAAGTCATTTCAGAAATATAGTTTTCCTAAAGAACAAGAGGGGATATTCCATCTCAAGAAAGAATGATTCAAATACATAGAAAGCCATGCTTTGGTACTGCAGAGAAAGCCCTCATAATTATTTAAATATATTATTTAATCTATAATTGAATTAAATTCATAAGTTCAAAGCAACTAGAATTTAAATACCAGCAGAAATCTGTGGATAAGCAATCAGAAAGGAGAAACAGAGAAAAAGTTACAAATATTCACCTGGGAAATTAAACAAAATAAACAAATTTTCAGAAAATAAGAATGATGGAAAATGTTAAAATGTATTTAAGCAATAGTAAAACAATTTCATAATGCAATAGGCACAAACAGAATGATGAGAAAATGCAGGATACATCTATAGAGAAAGCTCATATAAAGCCTTTTAAATTAGTACAGTGATGGATTATATGATAAATAATGATGATATATCTGACTATAAATCTTGCCCAAAAAACAAAACATTCTTCACCTCACTCCTTATACTGAAATATATTCAGATTTAATCAAGATTTAAATGTTAAGAATGATCATTAAGCCTTGTCAAATCTCTGAACAAAAGCCAAAAACGTGATAATGACATACTTTATAATTATAATAAAATGAAGAATTTATAGAGGAAGAAATATATAATAGACCATAAGTAAAGTTATACTAGCTTCTTATTTCTTGTAACAAAGAACTAATATCTTAATATATAATGAACATTATGAATCAGTTTTAAAAAAGCAGTTAAAATGTAATTGAAGAATCTGAACTGAGAATATGAACACATGGTTAGCAGCAAAAAACAATATTCATGGATAACAGCCAAGTGAAAATATTCTCAACTTGTTCCATAAAGAAATGAAAATTCAATCAAGACTCCATTTTTATTACCTTACTAGAGGCCCGGTGCACGAAATTCATGCGGGGGGTGGGGGGTCCCTCAGCCCGGCCTGCACCCTCTCCAATCCAAGACCCCTCAGGGGATGTCCGACTGCCTGATCAACCCTAACCATTCTGCCTGCCTGTCTGATCGCTCCTAACTGCCTCTGCCTCAAGCCCCGCCACAGTGGCTTTGTCCGGAAGGGCGCCCAGAAGACATCTGGACTATCCAGTCTAATTAGCATATTACTCTTTTATTAGTATAGATTAGATTGTCAAGGGTTAAAGATCTGAATTATAGCCAGTCTTGGGAGGTTGTGCAGACACCGGTATGATTAGGCATTGCTTACACAGTGTAAAGTGACTCTACCTGTTCAAAAGGCAATTTGGTGTTATTCATTCACTTTTAAATATACATGCCAGCAGTATTGTTTAGGAGTTTAATATAGAGAAATACATATGTTCTCAAAAATGTCTCTACCAAGGTCTGGGTTGATCACTGTGTATAAGAAAAATTATAACTATTGAGATCTTAATAAATTAGGGACTAAATTGTGCCATATCAACTCTAAGAAGTGCAGCAAAATTAAATTATGAATACCATATATCAATTATAATGAACCAATTGTATAAT